CCCTCTCCCACTCCCTCGTGGTTCCGGACGGGAAACAAAGCCGCGGCAGCATTCATTCGCTTACCATATCATTACGGGGCGCCCAAACGATAATCGGCGGGCTGCAGTCTGCAGTCTGGTCCTTAAAGCGGACACAACGGACCGCTCTCCAGCCTCTCGCCCCTCTCCCTCCCCGCCCTCCACCACCTCCCGCACCCTTTGCCCGTCCCGCAACTCAACGCCCAGTGCGCGAACAGGAGGCAGGGCCACGGCGGGCGAGGGAGGCTGGGAGCATGGCGGAACCAGTCCAGGCCGGGAAATAGAAGCGAATAATGGACCATTTCATTTGTTACTCAGGAGCAGCAGCAGCCGTCCGCCCGGAAAGAGTTGTCGCCGCGCGGTATCACCGCGGCCTCGCGACAGCCCCTCCCGCGGACTCGACGGGGCTGTTCGTCTCGCCGCCTCCCGCCCGGGCCGCGGGTCCCGCGTGCAGCTGGAGCGGACTGCCGCGCCGGGGCGCCGGAAACGCGCATCGCATTGCCTGTGATTGATTGTCTCGCCAAGAGCGGCGCCGACCGCGCCAACCAAAATGATCACCAGAAACGCAAATTTAGAGACGGAAAAAATTATACCAACCAAACCGCAGCATTGAGAAATTTGCCAGCTTGGAAAAGTTATTCTGGTATAAATAAGGCAAAGCTATGTTCGTTGTAAATGATACACAGCGGTTGGTTTGCTTTCATTGAGATTTAATGGCTTTAGATCTATTTTTAGGATGAAAATCATCCCTACGTTGTGTGGTGCGTGGGTGGTATTTGTAAGTTCACCAAAACGACACTCTTGTAATGCTATTGCCTAAAGAACTGAGAACAATCAGAGTCGTGGGTGTTACGGACTCGATGGGTGCCATTTTGAAAAGTGAATATGTGGCCTCCTCGTCAATTTGTGTGGTCTACTAAAAATGAATTTTTATCATAATTCGCCATTTCGATTACCAAAAAGATAGTCGCTAGTAAGGTTGGTCAAAATGTCCTGTTCTGTGTTGCAGCTAGATTTGCACCCAGAAAATTACAATGTAAAATAGCGACCGATTGTAAAATATAGTCCAATCCTTGTCTGTTTCCTACTCGTAACAGATATATAGTTTTGTAACGATAAGAAAACGGCTGTTTTACCAAAAGGGCGTCTACCAGGAACACGACCAAAAATTGTGAACCTGCAAGATCGTATGCCAAAATAAGTTACCTACTCATCTTTGTTAGTTCTCTTTTTCATACTGATTTGTAATTTGTAAATTTTACCTTGTGTAGTTTATGAAATAAAAATAAATAAAGGGCCGGCTGTACGTTACAATTCCCCAGCCCCCCTTCCCCCGATGCAGGTGCCAGCCGCCCGCGTGCAGGCAGCCCCTCCGGCGCGCAGTGCAAACGCTCCGCCAAGAGTCTCCCACCCCGTGGAGGCAGGCCACCCAACGGGCGCTCTGCGGTGCTCGGCGGCCCTCCGGGGATATGAATGGCACCCGCTCGCTGAATGAGCTTACGCACGCGAGGCACGTGTGGCTGCCCTCCGCGCCACATATCACATAACACAGCCGGAGAGAGAGAGAGAGAGAGAGAGAGAGAGAGAGAGAGAGAGAGAGAGAGAGAGAGAGAGATGCCCCAAGCCGTACTTGTTGCTTTTCATCTGTCCACCGTACCTCAGTCATGGCTGGAGCGGGGACCGCAGCCGGTGGCCGGTTTTTAATCAGCAACTTTATTCGCTCAGCAAAGGGCACACACACGTTGGGCAACGCGTGTTTATGTCTGGTGGTGTGAAGGCGGGTCACCTCAGCTGGACTAGGCCGAGCAGGGCTAGCAGCGGCAACCTGACGGGTTTAACCCGGCGCGACATCCGTTCAGCCCGTAAGGATCTATGGACCGCTTACGCTTACAATCACGCACTTACCAAACTACCGCTACTGCTACTTTTCCTTTTTGTTGTGGTGCAACTTCTAAGGTCAGGGGGAATTTACTTTTAAGTGTCAAGTCAAGGAATCAATTGAAACTTCCCTGGTAGCCTGGCATAATGACGAATGCCCATGGTTGTTTCTCTTCTCCTTAGCTCTTTGGTAAGAAAGTGAGAGGTGAGGGAAACTTGACATTCGCCATTACGTCAGATTACCAGTGCTCGAGTCAATCACTCTATATTCTTTCGTAATGCATAAATATTAAGCTGGCGGGTCATTTAGACAGCTGGCATGACTGCTCCGAGGCATCTTCAACACAAGGTTAAGGGGTGGTGGAAGAGAACGTCGAAGAACGTTCTTTTCCAGCTGAGCAATCCTTTCTTCCTGGTCCAATGGCTATAGATACGGTCACACTAATTTTTCCAAACTACGTTTTTGGCGGAATTCTAAGGCGAAACGTCTCTGAGATTTGTTGTAAAGTGGCTATCCTTCGTTTTCCCGTTTTACCTCTCGATAACAACAGGATTACCCCCTTCGATTACCCCCGCACTGACGCGCATGTCGTTTCTAACGAATTACCTCTGTTTGCGAGGACGCACCTTTGCAAGTCCTCTTAACGCCTGGTAGGTAGGCAACGTCTCGCTTGCAGTGCATGCGCGTACTGCGGCGTGGCCTACCCGGAGTCTCGCAGGCGCCGAGCTCCAATAACTTGCCGGAATCACGGAATAAATCTGTGATATAAACGGACGTACTCTCTGCGGACGATGCCTTTTTCACCTCTCCCTCTAAACAGCAGAGAGGCAGACGGTATGCGGCGCGGGCGCCCGAGGGATAGGCAACCCAAACGTCACTGCACCCCTCTGGAGACCTCGATGCGGGAGGCCCAGCTAAGCTCCCTCCAATCCAGCCCGTAAAGAAAAAGGGTGATGAAAAATCGACCTTGAAAGCACCAGACGATACGCATGTCATGACCAGGTCTTGTATTACATTAATTCAATAAAGGCGTGTGTGAAGGTTGCAAAGATCTGACACCCATACTGTCACTGGATTTGCGATAATATTAATACAAAATCTTGACATAGCTCCAGTTCTGTGATTCCCATCGCTCCCAGGATGACTCGTTATTGCAAATTAATTTTTTATATCAATCAATTATCAATTTCCTCATATTTTTAACGTGTATTTGGATGTATTCTTAAGTATGTCTTGGTATTGTAGAGTATTTCTTGGTATTTTCTTTGCATTTGTGCGTACGGTAGATATGAGCGAGCGAACATGTTGGCATTCGATCGAACTCGAACGAACATCGAGCTATTCGTGATAGCTCGAACACGAACATGAGGTTTTCGGATTCGAAATGTTCGATTACTTCTCGAACAGGAGTTCGTAGACGAACAGAATTATATTATGTCTTTGAAAGACGCGTCATATGTGATAAGTCATTAGTAAGGGAGACGGCATCAACTCTGATGAGTTATTAGTAAGAACGACCGGGGCTACTGGAACAGGATTTTGCATTTCGGCCCTGGAGAACAGACGCGATGAGGTGGAGATTTCTTCGTTCACGCTTACTGCAGCCCCAATCTTCCTCAACTTAAGTTCCAGTCCCATTCGGCCGTCGTGCATCTTGTTTTTGGTGCATTGTGCGAGAAATATTTCAGCACTACAAAGGGTCAAGGTGCCCCATGGGCTTCTTGAACACCCCCCGCGGGGATTCTATGAACACCCCCTGAAAACTCACAAAACTTAATAGTTGTCACAGTTTGAACCAAAACCGAACCCAATGATTAACTCTAACAGAGTAATTCCATAAAATTGTATAAAAATGTTGTCATATAAACCATGTTTGAGGTCAGGGTATCGAAGTCCCTCCTTCTGAGCTTCGGGAAGTAACCTGCCCTATTTAGGGTGACAAAAATTGGGGGTGCTAAAGTTGCCCTCAAATGGTGCACCAAGAATTACGGGGCCACAGCGGCCACAAAACTTGATCCCTTGACGCGTACTCAGGTTGAATCCAAGTACAATAGTCCATAGAAATCAGAAAAACTTCGTAGATGGTCAGCTGCATGCATCATTTCTGATTGCAAAAGCGGATCAAAACCAACTAACTAAATATTACACCTGACCTTAATTTTGAAGCATATTTTTTTCGTGTTTCTGCTGCGCAACAGAGAATGACAAAACAACTATCGCTCTTGTAAAAATTATATGACCTCCAGAAATGGTCAAGTCCCAATATTCTATATGGTACGCGGTTCTTTCAAGAAGGGGGTGTAGCCCCCGTGGTCAAGTAGCCCCGGTCTCTCTTAGTTATGACGATACCTTTACTCAACACCAGCAAACATTAAGTGCGATGACTTTTTATCTCAAAAATGAATTGCGATAACTTGTTATAGCAAAAATAACGTAATAACGAATAAGTGATAGCATTAATTTTTGCACGGTAAAAACAATGTCGACAAAGGGAAAACTTTACGGAACTCCCATGTTTGAGAAAGAGTCCTCCGATCTCGCCACAAATTTAAAGGAATCTTCTCAAGAAATGAGGAAAAATGACACATTTTTTCAGAAGGCTTCCTCGAAATCTGACGAGTTTTCTGTCAAACCAGGTGAGTTCCTCAAAGTTTTCCCTTTTTCCTTAAAAAATCAAGACACTGTTTCTACCGTGTGCGATAAAAAGTTATCGCAATTTGTTTCGCGATAAATTTCTCCATATAAAAGGTATCGCATTAACTAGTTATCACATTGTTAGAGCGATGAATAATGGGAATCGCAAAACGGGAGTTTTACTGTAAGGTTCTCGCAAATTCACTGTCAGCTGCCGGCAGTGTAACGCTGTCACATTTGTCGTAGTTTGTGTTGTTACGTAGTGCCATGACAGTGATAAGTACACATCGAGATGAGAACGTTGAAGAATTAAACAGAGAAATCTATTTTCAGTTTTTTTTTATTGTCTTCTTAAAATAAATAATTTCTTATCCAATCGTACAAAATGAGGGGTGGTGCAACGAAGATAGATGAAAAATGACATGGAATATGGTAACATTAATAATCACGTGATCATGTCGGCGAGCTCCTCCGTCGAGCACAATGAGTGGCGACAATGAAAGAACAGACTAGAGTAGAAATGAAATGCGATAGCCGACATCGACTTTGTCTCGGGCTGGTGTAGGCAGTGGACAGTGGGCAACGGCGCAACAATGGCACTGTTTGGGGAGCTGCTGGGGTTAGTGCTGGGCTGGGGGAGGGAGAATGTAGGGGAGGAGGGTCCTAGTCTAGTGGACGTATCCGCCCAGGCCGCTGTAGCCCAAACCGTGTCCCAGGCCGATGCTGCTGTAGCCAAGGCCGTGGCCAGCCAGGCCCAGGGGGGCAGCGGCGTAGCCGAGAGCGGGACCGTGGCCGATGGAGAGGGCCGGGGCGGCCGCGTAGGAGACAGCGGGGCTGGCGGCGTAGGAGACAGCGGGGGCGGCGGCGTAGGAGACAGCGGGGGCAGCGTACTTGAAACAGGACAACTCGGTGTTAGTGAGGTGTATGAACTGTGCTGTGAATTTTCCAGCGAGAGAGAGTCGTCGTTCATCAAACTCACCTTAGCATATGCGGGCGCGGCGTATGCCACGGAGGGCGCTGAGTACGCGAGCTTGGCGACCGGGGCCGAGGCGACGGAGTAGGCGGGGGTGGCGGCGGCAGAGTAGGAGTAGGCTGGCGCGGAGTAGGCGACCCTAGCGGCGACGGGCGCGGCGTAGGCGGCGGGAGCGGCGTAGGCGTGAGTTGCGTACGCCGCGGGGGCGGCATAGGCGGCGGGGGCAGCATATGCAGCAGGGGCGGCGTAGGCAGCGTGGGAGGTGTACGCGGGGGCGGCGTAGGCGGCAGGGGCGGCGTAGGTGCTGTAGGCGGCGGGTGCGGCGTAGGCGCTGTAGGCGGCGGGTGCAGCGTAGGCGGCGGGAGCAGCGTAGCTCACCGCGGGTCCGTGTCCGATAGACAAGCTCGGAGCAGCATATCCGAGACCGATGCCGACGGCTCCGCGTTTCTCCTGCTTCTTTTCTGCCTGCTGCTCCTCAGCTGCGGACACCACGGCCAGGACGGCGACGAACACGGACTGCAAGCAGGAGGCCAGAAGGCTGTTACAGAGAACTGTACCCAGAGAAGCAGGCTCTTGACCAGATCGAGTACAAAGTGGTGCTTAGACCAAGGCCAATTTGGACTTCAACCAAAAACATGGATTTCACTTCAAGAGCAAAGGGTGACAGTTTGAGAATAAATTGGGGTTCATTCAAGCCTTCATACTCAAGTACTTGATCCAATCTAGTACATTGCACTCAAATCAAAATGCAGCGCACTTAAATCAAAGGACAATGCACTTAAATCAAAGTATGATGCACTAAAATCAAAGTGCAATACGTTTGATGCTAGAACAAGATTTTTTAGGAGTGTGTGGCGAGTGGTTGGCGTAAACACTTGTTAATCCAATGTCTTCGGCTCGGCTATCCATGGGGAGAAATAAACTTTATACTCACTCGCTGATCACATCACTCACTCATTTATCACTTACTGATCACTCACTGATCACTCACTCACTCACTCACTCACTCACTCACTCACTCACTCACTCACTCACTCACTCACTCACTCACTCACTCACTCACTCACTCAGAGCCGCTAACTCACCAGGAACTTCATCTTGGCAGTTAGTTGCTCTGTTTCGCACTGTTCACAGAATGATGCTGTGTGCCGGCGCCCGGTTGCTTTTATACAGCGAGGGGGCTCGCCGCGGCCCCCCCGCCGTCACCCCCGTGCGCGCTGCGCCCCGCCACGCCCCGCCACGCCCCGCCACGTCCCACAGTTCAGGATACAAGCTGCCCCGCCCCTCCAGAGTTCACCGGAGCCCGGGCCGACCGTGCCCCCGGGCCTCCACACACCCCCTCCCCTTTTTGCCCCACTGTGTGCGAACCCGCTCGGGGTCTCCGGGCGGCGGTGGGAGCGGGAGGGAGCCGGGGGAGGGGGGAGGGCAGCTGTGACTCGCGGGGGGCATTTCGCACCGCCGTCAAGTCCAGGGGGCGTGGTGGGTCTCGGGCTCCTGTCACACACGTCACTCGGGTAACGCTCTCTATCGGTGACGTCCTACATCCTATCAATATGAAGTCGATCCGAGTATCTATCTACACCATCATGAGCATGACGAACAAATTAAGGCTTCAGCAGACGCAAAAGTAGACCCCCCTGCTGTAACAAATGAGAAAAATTACGTTTGATTATTCCACAGAGGGTATTTCACCGTGATCTTACTCTGGCTCGCGACCTTGCTGGTCCAGCGCAAGTCTATCGCGTGTGGCGGGCTTGGCGGGCTTGGCGGGCCACTCCGAGGGCAGGGCTCCAGGAAGGTGGAGGAAGGCGAGAGTATGCAGCGGTTCGTTTTTTTTTTTTTTTTATTGAATCCGTCGGAAGCTCCGCCACGACCGCCGTTCCTGCTGCTCGTTGCCCAATAGTCATCCTGACCCACCCGAGTGCCCAGTAACTAATTAACAAAGCGCTCACCCACACACACAGGCCGTTTGGAAGGGTCTCGCCTGTCTCGTCCGAGGTTTGGTCGTCTCCCCCACGCCCGCTGTTGAAGCTTCGGGCGGGCCTCCACCGTCTCCGAACAGCTGCTTGACGGGTTGGCCTACCCAGCGCATAGCAGGCGCTATCACTAGCATTGCCCCGTGAAACGTTTACGGTGGAGGAGCCACCTTCACTCAACTACTCAACCCCTTCACTCAAACTGTTTACTCAACACTCAACCCCTTCACTCAACCTCTTCACTCATCACTCGATCTGTGATTGAGCAGCACTTTCGCGGTTCTTGGGTAAAAATCTGGCAACAAGCTGAGCTGCTCGGCACCACACATGCGTGCCGTGGCGAGACCCGGCCGCACCGCGCAGCCGAGCTACGCGCGGTAATTCAAATTAGGGCCGGGCAGCTGATTGGCCGAGCGGGGCAGAGAGGAGGGGGCGGTGGGAATGAGCTCGGGTCCCATTGTGGAATTAGAGCGCCGCACTTATCGAAGTGCCGTTCCGATAGTCGGGCGTGGCGTGGCGTGCGGTGCGTAAACGCTAAGCGTGGTGTGTGCGTGAGCTTGAGTGCTCCGTAAAGCCAGAGTACCAAGCACAGTGCGATGAATCAGCAAGGATGATCAGGGAAGCTTTTTGATCTATATGTCATGGAAGCGCATGGAAGCAGGCTAGCACTGGCACTGCTGAACTTAAATTGACTTGTTAGTTGCGTATGAAACATGGTATGAACAGGCGTGAGTCTAAGGGCACGAGGAAAGTATGGGAGGGGGGCACTTTTACTGCTCCCTCCGCATTTTGTACCCCGGGGTGAACATATCGCGGCATCTTTATCGCCTCCTTCGATGACGTGCTACAGGCCCCACATGGGGCCCGTAATCAAATTACCCACCCCAGCGTACTCGGTCTTATTGACTTATGTAGATATGGATTAACAACCTTCACTCGTGCGTGATAAGAAATAAGATAAGATGATAAGGAATGAAAAGAAACACGACTTGCGGCCTATCTGTCAATTTGCAGGTCCTGATATTAGATACCTGCAGCTACCAGTCAGCCCGACTGAAGTATAGAGAACAACAAGTTGCTCAAGAGGCGCGCTGCTCCGTAAAGAGAGAAAAAAACTAAGCAGGAGTCGCCCTAATGGGGCTTGTAACGGCGGTGCGTCGCTACGAACCAAGGACCGGGCGAACGGCCAACGCCGTGCGCGTGAAGACGGAACAAAGGGAAGACTAGGAATTGAACGGACAAAAATTGATTCTACTTTATAGACGCTTAATTGTTGAGCACTAGCAATTGATGAGCCCAATGGACTTTCAGATAATTTCACGTCAAAACTAAAGCCAAAGCGTTGGCTCCCCAGAAATAAATCCATCAGCTGCATAGCAAGCGCCCACGCCCAGTCGTACTGCACTTTAAGTGTTATTCTGCACGGCTATCACACAGGTCAGATTATTATTTTCCCTGTGTTTGTGTTTGGACCGACCTCTTATTCCCCGACCTTTCCTAATAATACTGCTCCGCTCGGTTCGCAACGTAGCCGCGGCTGCTCCTGCCCCACTCCCCACGCTCGCCTCCCAGAGCCGGGGGGGGG